CACACACACACACACACACACACACACACACACACACACACACACACACACACACACACACACACACAGAGAGAGAGAAAAGCCTGTGCACCTATTGATTCTTTCTGTTTATGCTTGAAGGAAAATGATTAGCTTTCCACTGGGTCACCACAACAAACTCTGAAACAAGGTGGAAATGTATCAGTGCAGCAACACACACTTTGCTATTAGAGTTTAGTTACAAAAATAAAAGTAATCAGCTCATCATTCTTGCATCCTGTACCTCATCAGTACTTGTGGATTAATAAATCAGAATGATTGGAATCTGTCAAAAGGAAAAGAATATTATTCATTTGATCATATTTCTGTGTATCATCATGGTGAAAAGCCCCAACTATTTATTCCATTAGCCTACTTGTCAAACATTAATCTCTCTTGGCATTCAGCATTAATACATGTTCTGTCTCTACAACGTGTTCACGTTGAAATCGGTCGGATTATTTATGAATTAAAAGATTGAAAGCTTGTTCCACATTACCATTTAGAGCAGCTTTTTAAAGAAACAAATTGCAAAATCACTGCTTTTTTGAAATATTATTTCTCAGTTACATCACAGTAAGCAAATATTTATTTATTTATTTATTTATTTACTTATTTATTTATTTATTTATTTACCCACCCAACGTACTGGTTGAATTATTGCTTCATTTCTTATTCAGTCCATGATCCCATGTACTTCTATATGTGTGTAAGTTAATTAGACCCAGAGGTGGGTGGAGTGGCCAAAAGTTGTACTCAAGGAAGAGTAGCACGACTTCAACATATCTTTACTGAAGTAAAAATAAAATATAGCCATCTAAGAAATTACTCAAGTAAAAGTGACCCCCAAGTTTACACTACACACGGTTCCGCTGCACAGTGCAGTTTGCCACAGTAAATGCGAGATCGCACAATAAATCGAGAGATAAATGTGGAAGTCGGAGCAAAATAATTCATTCTGTGGAAAATGGACTCCAAACACAGTTAAAACAGCATCGCTGTTGTCTTTTTGAATTTGGAACTTTTGATTTCAAACTAAAATCCATTTAAATTATGTCCGTACACATATGCTTCACGCTGCATGTTGCCATCTGCTTACCAAACAGTACGATACATTTTGACAACTCTTGTGTGGAAATATATGCATATATATTTATTAATTAGACAAAATTAGTCTGACTTTGGTGAATTATTTTTGAAAATACAAATGTGCTCATTCCTTTTCCTGTTGGCAGTGGTGGGCAGCACTAATCCAAAAATTAGCTCTGCAATTTCTAAAGCGCTTATGAAGATATTTAGGTCCACAACTTCAAAAATGCTTATTACGTAGAAAATTAGCGGAAGCTAATTCTAAAGCACAGGTTCAATTTGACACTTACTAGCTGGCAACAATTGTACAATATAAGTACAACACTGCCAACTAGCAGTGTATGAACCCTTGTACAGCTTAATCCTACAAGCGTTGATTGCTGGGGATGTGATTTCCCTTGGTCGCTTGGTCAAGGGTCAATATGTTGACGCAGGGGGCATGAGAAGGGGCTCAATGGTCAGGCAGCCAGGAAATGGAAAGCCATCGGTGCTGTTTTGCAGAACACCAGGAGACCATCAAGCCAATCTGTAGAATCTAGTGATCAAATCCAAATATATATCCAGCTAGTTGAACAGAGCAGAACAGAGGTCCCACCTTTGACATGTCCTCCCATGGAAAAAAAAAAGTTCTAAAAAATTATTAAAAGTCCAGCTAACCAAATCCATAAAAATAAATCCATAACTTTCGGTTTCAGATGAAGACGTAGAGGAGGCTCCGAGCAGCAAAGCAGGGAAGAAAAGGGAAGGCAAGAAAAAAAGAATAAGAAAAAAAAAGTTGGTAGGATTTGATCATGTAAGTACACATTTTATTAAACGTGAACATGTTTAATTGAGTAGATGATGATAGCAGAGGTAAATACTGGAATGTGTTTGAGCAGTCAGGATCATATTTGTGACAATATTTAAGATTAAAAACTCAACTCCTTGAGTCTCTCTTGCCTTACACTAACATTACTTTAAATGACCTTGAATGCTGTAAACTATTTGATAAACCTCGTTGAAGGTTTGTTCTGTTTTTTGCAGTTCCAGACCTTTAATATTTAAGCAAGCATGAGTTTTGCATTTCTTGTAGAAGAAACTGGACTCCTGTGGAGACAGAGATAGCGGTCTGATATTTGATTTAGACCCCCACCCCCCCCACCCCCACACCCACTGCAAGGAGGAAATAATGATAAATATCAGGCCAAGTCTGCATCTCCTTTTTATTTATTTATTTTGTTTTTGTGCAGGCAAGGTTAGAGTCAGCATTTTTGTTTCCCCCATCAAGTCTCGTTGGCATCATCTTGTGAGACTATGGAGATTCTAACATTGTTTAAGGGAAGAAAAGTCAACAGTTGGAGAGGAGCTGGGGTCATGCATTTTCAGCAAATAAAAATGTTTGCGTATGAATGTGTGTGTGAGTGCGTGCGTGCGTGCGTGCAGACATGTTTTTGCAACTTGGTGGGGACGATTTTTTAGGAAATTGCATCCTCGTGGGGACCAAATGCTCAGTGGGGACCAATGTTCAGGTCTCCACAAGTTTGGAGGCTGATTTTGGGTGGGGGGTTTGCTTTAGGACCAATGTGTGATTTAAGTTTATGCTAGATTTAGGAGCAGGTAGGTACTGGAATGGTTTTTGCTACAACATGGGTACCAAAGCAAGGCCCCCACAGGTACGAATGCAAATTACGGGTGGAGGTTTAGGACCAAGGTGTGAATTGAGTTAGGCTAGTTTTAGGGTATTTTAGGGTAAATGGTCAGGGTTAGAATATAAAATTACCATAAAAAAAGAAACTAGTCAATCCACGGTCCCCATGGGGATGTAAAAACCAGATGTGTGCGTGTGTCTGTGTGTGCTTGTTTGTTTCTGCTACAGAGTGAGGACCACTAGCAAAATATCCTGATGCATCTCAGTAATTCAGGTAAAAAATCAAAAAGAAAAAAATTGTATAGGTCTTCTGGACGGGTTCTTCTCTAATGAAACGTTTCGTCTCTCCTCCAAGAGACTTCTTCAGTCTGAGAGTTTCAGGCAAAATTCAGGCTTTTAAGCCCTGCCTCCAGGTGACTGATACTCACATCACATGGCTATCGTTGACACCTAATTAACACTTATTGTTAACAGGGGGTGGAGTGATACTGGSAATAGCCGCGCTGTAKGAGGGSGACAACTGAAAACGGAGGCCTCCACCTCTGTTTAATGATGGACKGTCTTTCTTYACAAAAATGGCTTCTTBTACTCCTCTCTCAAACCAACGTTCCTCTCTATCAAGAATGAGAACATCCTCATCTCTGAAAGAGTGACCGCTGGCCTGTAACTGAGTGAAAACTGCAGAGTTCTGGCCATTAGATGTAGCTTTTTTTTTTCACTAGCAAAATATTTACTATCAAAGTGAGGTCTTTGATGTGAAGTGAGGATCTTGTTCCAGTCTTCACTTCATTTTCAGCTCTACTGTGCTTTACTTGTTAAGTTTACAGGTATGGTGTGAATAAAGTATTTGTTCGGGTTATGGTTAGGAATAGACCAGTAATGGTCAGTTTTAGGGAAAAGGTCTGGGTTAGGCATAAAGGCCGTTACAAAAATGAATGGAAGTCAATACACAGTAGGTAAATGAAAGTACAAGAACGTGTGTGTGTGTGTGTGTGTGTGTGTGTGTGTGTTGGGGGGGTGGCATAGACTGGTAAAAACAGAGGAGTGACGAAGTGAGATAGGAAGTGAATTAAGAAGAGTACAAGGCGGGAACAATAGAGACTTAAGGTATAGAGAGCGGGGTAAGGAGAGAGAAAGAGTTAGGCGAGTCAGATGGACAGAGATTGTAGTGCCTTGCAGCCAGTGTCCATATCTCTTGCCAGCATTGACTCCACACGCTGCACTACAACTAATGGACTCTGTCCTTCTCTTCTGTCTTATCTACCCTCTCTCCCTTTTTCCATCCTTCCTTCCTATCTCACAGTACTCAAAGCTGCTCTATCTTTCCACTTAACGGTTTCACCTCAATCTCATTTTTATCACACTTTGCTCTTTGCCTTTCCTTCTTCTGCTATCTCACTCTCAAATGCTTCTGGTCTTTCTCTCCTTTTCTATCTCGTCTTCCTTTTTAAGGTTTTTTTTTCATCCATCTCTTCTCGATGACAAGAAACCTGACAATTTCACTGTCTACTCTTTTTCCTCTTCTCTTCGGTTGCACTAAATTTATTGGAATTTTTGTACATTTTGTTGCTGCCTTGTGAAAATATTTTTTTGGTCTTTGTGTAGATCCATGCAGCTCCATGGTAAAGATTATTATTGTTTTTTATTATTTTTTAGATTATTTTGTGTGGCCTCTTATTCCTAGAGAAAAAGAAAAAAAATATTAACTTATAGATCCATAACAAAAGCTACAAAATTAGGTTGAAATGGAAAAGAACAATGATGTTGCAGGACCTTGGTGCATGAAACTACTTCTTTCTAGTCTGATATATTTATTTTCTCACCTAAATAAATATGATGGTTTGTTTTCTTACTTTCAGATGACCCAGGAGCAATACATTCTTGCAGCCCAGCCGAACCCTCTCCACCAGCGGGGTGCATCAGAATGCAGCGCCCAGGTTTACCCTGCAGTCGGCATCTATGGCTGGAGGAAGAGATGCTTGTACTTTTTCATCCTCCTCCTTCTCGTCACCATGATCGTCAACCTGGCGCTGACCATCTGGATCCTCAAAGTCATGAACTTCACTCCGGTAGGAGACATCTGCGTGTGTGGGCCGTTAGTGTCAGAGTGTTATACGAGTTTGTGTTCACATAAAAGAAAGGAGTTTGCTTTAATGTAATAAAACCCATGAGTGACAATAAGTGATTACAGTGGTAACTGTTTAATTCGACAGTAGCTGCTTTATCATGGCAAAGGGCACCTTGTGCATTTGTTGGAGACACCACAAGCTTTGACTAAAGTAGTAAGGTTTGGTGTCCTGGAAACAGCCCTGGATCAGAGTTTAGATCGGGCCTAAAATGTCCAACCTGAACCAGCCCAAACTCATAGACCAGTGCTATTCAATTGGCAGCCTGCAGGCCACATCTGGCCCATGGGTGACTTCTGTCTGCCCCCTCCTGCAGCACAATATTTCAGCTATATACAACTGTGACAGTAGAAAACAAATGGTCAAAATTTACTTCTGTGTATACAACTCTGCATATGTTATGGATGATTTTTTGTCATTAAATATTTGCATTGTACATGCATAAATACCGTGAATCAACACAATTTTAGATTGAATCAGAAAAAAATAATTTAGATCAGTGATGCATGTTTCTGAAAATTAGCACACACAAAAAACTTTTTGTAATTTATTTTACATTATATTGATGATAGGATTAATTTCAAATTAGGCTATAGTTTAAAGAAATTGTGAAGTTTAGCACCACAAAAATATTTAAAATTATACAATTTGATACACTGTATTTTAAATGAAAAACATCTGACATTTCTGCCAATTCTTAGTGTTGATGTAGTTATATTATACTGTGATCAAGTAGTTTTATTTAATTTTTTAATGCATCTAACCTTGAAGTATCCATACAGCCAATGTTGCTTTTACATTTGGGGTTTGTAATATTATAATTTAATAATCATACAGTATATGCAAATGATATTGTGTTTGACCCCTAGGAACTTTTAGTTATTCATCTTCACATCATACATTGCGCTTCAATCTGCTTCTAAATAGAATCTGGGAGATAAAGGATGTGGATGAAGAAAAAGGGCAGTCAGACAATTCGCCTGAGGAAATCGAGACAACATCATGCATAAACGACAGGAAGATAATGCAAGCCATACTCGCATGTGAAACATGAAAGCATATACAAAATAAATAAATAAATAAATACATAAATAAATAAATAAATAAATAAATAAATAAATAAATAAATAAATAAATAAATAAATAAATAAATAAATAAATAAATAAATAAATAAATAAATAAATAAATAAATAAATAAATAAACTCAAAGCAGAAGAAGTCAAAGGAATCAAAAGTTAAAGAATCAACATAGACTTCAACTTCATCACAGGATTTGATTTTGTGCACTTTAACTGCATGACAGTGATGCAACTTCCACATATTTCATTATAACAATAATAAAACAGCTGTTTGTAGCATTCCATTTAGAATGACACAATGAGTGCATAAGAGGAAGACTTGTACAAGGCTGCTGGGAGGAATATAAAAAGTCTTTTTCTGAAATATCTGTTTTAATTTTTGCATAGTTACTTGTCAATTTTTGAAAGACACACGAAAAGAAAAAAAGAAATCAACACCTGACTTTTCTTCTGTGTCAATATTTCATTGCAGCAATACCCCTTAGTGACATTCTTTATTAAATGAGAAACAAGGTGAGGAGTTCTATAAGCTTTTTCATGATCAACTCACACTTTGCTGTTCTCATCTCACAATTCCCATACTTAATGTGCTTATTTGTTTTTGTCCAAAGTGTCATCAATCTTCTTTCTAATTTCTACAAAGTTTGATTCCAAATAAACACAGACTTGATCACATGAATCCCTGGAGAGATGGTATTGTGACTATCATCTCTTGCCTTGGCAAAAAAAAAAAAAATAAAATAACAACAACAACAAAAAAGGCTGATATTCTCTCCATGAGATGGGACAAAACATATAGGGATTAGTGAAAAAATGATGCAAAATGAAGAACAGAATGTTAGAGGAAAGAAGGACTTAAGATGGTGAAGACAGCAAAAACTAGATACTGCATAGTTGTGGCATAATGACCCACACAAAGGCAAATCTATGGGATAAGATAACTGTCAGAATTATTGTTTGTGTAAGAGTCTAACTTTGTACATGAAAGTCTATAAACATACATGAATTTGTTACAACTTTTCCACATTACAAGTACAAATCAAATTTACAAGTACGAATCAAATTTACAAGTACAAATCAAATTTACACGTACGAATCAAATTTACAAGTACAAATCAAATTTACAAGTACGAATCAAATTTACAAGTACAAATCAAATTTACAAGTACGAATCAGGAGGCACGGTGGCTCAGTTGGTAGAGCTGATGCCTAAGGTCACCGGTTCAAATCCCAGTCCAGGGACCTTTCTGGGTAGAGTTTGCATGTTCTCTCCGTGCATGCATGGGTTCTGTCTGGGTACTCCGGCTTTCTCCCACAGACCAAAAACATGACTGTTAGGTTAATTGATAACTCTAAATTGTCCCTAGGTGTGAGTGAGAGAGTGAATGGTTGTTTGTCTCGTTTGTCTCTATGTGTGGCACTGTGATGGATTTGCGACCTGTCCAGGGTGTACCCCGCCCCTCGCACTGAGACTGCTGGATATGGGCACCAGTGACCCCCGTGACCCTGAAAGGAAAAAGCATGTACAGAAAATGGATGGATGGATGGAAGTACGAATCGAATTTACAAGTACAAATTAAATTTAAAAGTACAAATCTTATGTGAGAATACAAGTTTTTAAGTTACAAATATAAGTTAAAAAGTTACAACTTTGCCACATTACAAGTACAAATCAAATTTACAATACTTGTAATGTGGCAAAGTTGTAACAAATTTATGTACGTTTATAGACTTACATGTACAAATTTAGACTCTTACACATACAATAATTCTGACAGTTATCTTATCCCATACAAACCACCCACTCAACAAAACTCACATATGGGTAGCAGCATTTTTAAATGTTCAGGTATTTATATGAGAAGACTTTGGAATGCTCATTACAAAAAAAAATGTTGATGGAAAACAAAAAAGCTAAATTGTTCTTGGTAGTCTATTTGAGAGTGATGACGAAACAAGCCACGTTCACATGCACAATATACTGTATATAAGAAAGCCTTCACTAAAAATGTTGTTTTTGATTTAATTTAAAAATTGACTTCAAAATAAGAAGTTAGTACAGGAAAGGACGTTGGTCTTTCCACAATTAAATCAAAGATTATTGAAAAACTCAAATTGTAGTTTATTTTATATTTTTGGCTTGAGAGTTGTCCTGCTGTCATTTGAAGAGTTTAGTAAATACAGACAAAAAGACAAACCATGAAACTTTATCACATTTAAAGTATTACCTTTGGGGCTGGATAAAATACTAGAGGCCATATTTGGCCTGTGGGCCTTGAATTTGTGCCATGCCCTAAAACATTGATACTTTTTCTATAAATTGTGGTTTAATATTATTATTATAAAAAAGCTCAAACTTAAACAAATCATGGACAGTTTGTCCATCTCAAACCATGACAGTAGTGTTGACCAACCTTTCTTCTTCATATGCCTCCCATAGCTGCTGCTGGTTTAATCAGGAGATCACAGTCTTTCCTTTACTTTTCCTTTTTTTTGACATTATGCTGCAGTTGGTAAATGTTATGCTCTTTATGATAATAAAGGGTTAATAGTTTTCACAGACGAGACAAATTTCAGTTATGTTTAAAACTTTGGAATCTGATGTCTAGCAGACATTTTACCTGCTGATTAGACGTCACCAAATTCTCTGCTGTGCAATAAAGAGAGAGAAAAGGAGAGAAGCTGCTCAGCAGAAAGCCTCTTTGTCTGGATGTACAGCAGCATTCATTTAAGAGTGGCACCGCACTGGAGTGCCGTGGACTTGTGTGTGTGTGTATGAGAGAACGTGTGTGTGCAACATGGCATTTTGGGGCATATTATATTGTAGATATCACTTTTAAACACAGAAGTGAAACCATGGACCACCACTGTAAAAGATGTAGTCCTGTCAAACGCTGCCATTGCTTTTATAATAACGTGCAGCGCGCAGAGGGGTTCTGTATGACTGACAGGAGCCGGGTCAACCCTTTATTTAACAACGCTCTGATGGCTTCATGTTCAGCGCATGCAGTTCATCCTCCTGAGAATAGAGTTTTTAAATCAATGATGAAAACATTATTAGTGCATGGAACAGGTGGAAATGGTCACTTTGAACTGGAGTTGACCCACCCGGCGCTGCTGTTGTTTGTATGTGTGTGCAAGTGTGTGTGTGTGTGTGTTTTAGCATGAGAAAGTTTGGTGTGTGCATGTCCTGAAATGTGTGTGACTTGATATTGAAAGCCATACCGAATAGCTGTGAAGTTATAATTTCCACCCTAAGTTTGAAAACAGGTGCCCCGACAGTCAGGTGTTGTTTCCAGCAGGAAGCGTCCGGTCAGCTGACTGCTGCCCGGCAGAGCGTAGCAACAATAGACATGTCCAAAACGTTGGAGTAAAATAGTAACTTAGCAAAATATTAACAAAGCAAGTAGATATTTGAGTTCTACAGTGCTGCACTACCTAAAAACTTTCTGAGAATTAATTTTGTGTCAAGAAAAAAGTAACGTGAAAATTTCCTTACAGCTTTTTACTGCTCTCTATTTCTGTGTGGACAGCCAGCCTCCACATCCAATGCATCGTGGGATTGGGTGGATGAAGAAGGATGATGTTTTGATTCATTCTGTGATTTTTGACAACTGTAGCATGGAAACGGCTGCACTGATCAACATGGAATTTGGCAGGAATGTAGATATGTCCGACCTACACTGTGCCAGCCAACGGTTAGACACCATATTTGAGGAGGTTGCTCTATCTAAAAAGGAGGTGTCTGGACATAAAAAATGCTTATAACTCAAAAACTATTCAGCATAGAAGTTTCAGATTTTTGATTTATTTATTCATTTTATTTTATTTATTTATTTATTTATTTATTTTAGTAGTTTAGC